ATTCTACCTGATTCGTTTCATTACCCCCTGACCAGGGGGCGTAGTTAACGCCTTCCATTATTACTGGTTTATTTTGAACAAGAACACAGTAAATCATTTTTTTTATATATAGGTACACTTTCCAGCTCAGTGACACTAAAATACCGAAGCATAACTCTCCCCCCCCCCCCACCAAGTTGAATAATAGGAGTGAAGATTAGTATGTTTGCCTTAGTAACAATAAACTTTGTATGTTTGTTTAAAATTTCACGACAATTTTGAACTAACAACAGCACCTGCCAACTGTTTGTTGGGCTACTTTTGCTGTTGTTAGCAGGGTGGAAGACTTGATTATATAGTATCGTAATCATCTGCACGTTAAAATCCATACAAACTCTTGGAAGACTTGATTATATAGTATCGTAATCGTCTGCACGTTAAAATCCATACAAACACTTGGAAGATGATGCTGTACAGCTAGCGGCTCCAACTAAAGGTTTTAACAATCAGAGATTTACCATGCTGTACAGCTAGATTTACCATGCTGTACAGCTAGCGGCTCCAACTAAAGGTTTTAACAATCAGAGATTTACCTCTGGCTAATAATCTCATGTAATAATGCGATGAAATTGGTTACAATCAGAACATTTGGTTCTGGACTATTATCGTAGGTGGCAGGACATCCTTCTGGCTATTGATACTTTTAGTCCTAACTAATCTATGTAAGAAATTGCTTACTAAATGTTAAACGGTTCGAATCTCCGTCCCACCAAACATGCTCGTCCTTTCAGCCGTGGGGGCGTTATAATGTGACGGTCAATCCCACTATTCGTGGTGGGTGGTGATGACTACCTGCCTTCCCTCTAATCTTTCACTGCTAAAATAGAGACGGCTAGCGCAGATAGACCTCTTGTAGCTTTGTGCCATAAATTCGAACCAAATACAAGTACATTGATAACGGAAATGATTTGTAATTACAACATGACAAAACGTAAAACCTTCTACACTTTTTGTCCTGGTAGGATGAACACATATTACACGAAGTAATTAAAGGATTACTCTATTTGACAGTATAGCCCTACTGGTCAGTTCCAACGTTTGTTTAAGTCTCGTTTCTCCTACCTTGCTAGTTAGAGGAGTACAGAGTAAACTGTT